TAGAATTGATTATCTTAAAAAATAAAATTTATTGATATTATGTTAGAATTATAATTGACTATTTTGTAAAATTATTAACATACATCGTAATATATTGCAGACGCCGGTCGAAGATTTTGGAGGAGACGGTCTTGATTACCGACCTTGTTTCACAACAACTAATCTATTTGATAGTGTTGACGAAGCTATTGAATGGACAAAAGATATTGCAATCATATGGGGTTTCTCATTGGTCATCTCGAGACACGAAAAAGAAGGAAAGAATAGGTTGTTGAGGTGTGATCGGGGGGAACGTTACAGAAGCCGTGTAGGAAAGGTAGTTAATGCTATTATGAGAAAATCGAAAACTAAATCGACCAACTGCCTTTTTCAGTTAAGAGTCAAATTTGATTCTCAATCAAAAAAATGGTATATCTCGGCTCCTTTAGATGATGAGAAGGGAAAGCATAATCATGCGTTGGCTGTTAATCCCGAGGGTCATCGACAGATGACCGGCCTTAGCGATCCGTCCAAAAAGATTGTCCGTGATATGACTTCTGCTCAGGCGAGGCCGACAACAATTTTGGCTGCGATTCAGGAGCAAAACCCTGTAGACAATGCTACTTGTAAACAAGTGTACAACTATAGACATAAAGTGCGGAAAAATAATTTGCAGGGTAGAGATGTGGCTGACCAACTTCTGAATTTGGCTAAGGCCAACAACTATATACATAACGTAGATGTTGATCTGGACACACAGGCGTTGACACGTGTCTTCATGTCGCATCCTCAATCCGCCAGTCTGTTTCGGACATATTACTGGTATGTCGGTATAGACTCCACGTACAAAACCAACAGGTATGTTATGTTACTTTATAAATATCAATTTAATGCGATTATTATTAGTATGTTTGAATAGGTTTTTTGATTCTATGTTGCTTTCATTTTTACAGGTACAAGATGCCATTGGTAAAAATGATTGGAATGACGCCGTGCAACAAGAACTTCTTAATTGCCTATGCAATTATCAAGGAAGAGACCGAGTACAGCTATAACTGGGTCCTATAGCGGTTGAGACTTCTGTTACCTTCTGATGTACATCCTACAGCCATTGTCACTGACAGGGAGTTGGGTTTGATTGATCCTATTCGGATGAATTTCCCTCAATCGGCCCACTTACTTTGCACGTGGGACATCAACAAGGATGTGGAAGACAGGGTGTATCGACTAGCAAAAAATAATAAGCTCTTCGCTCAGAAGTTCACGCACGGCAAGTGGAAGAAGGTTGTCGAGGCGAGCACATTGGAGAAATACCAAACTGCCATAGATGATTTGAAGGCTACATACGTACAATTTACTGATGTGCTACGCTATTTGGAGGAGACATGGTTAGTCCACAAGGAGAAGTTTGTGAAAGCGTGGACGAACACTTTTTTACATTTCGGCAACACAACGTCGTGTAGGGTGGAGAGTGCCCACGCTACGTTGAAGCGGTGGTTGAACACGTCGACCGGTTCGCATGTTATGTATATTCCTTAGGTTATACATATTTACTGTGTTATTATTACGTTATTTATTTGGTTCTAATGTTATGTAATGTATTACCAGGGTCACGCTGGAGTCTTCGAGACTTAACATGCATACGGGTTACAAGGAACTCATTTTCGCGCCGTTGAGATTGCGGGTCTCGCATTATTGTATGGATTTATTAAATTAGAGCTTAAGAGGATGCGAGAGTTGAGCGAAAAAGTTGCCGATCGCTGCGGATGTGTACTCTGGTACACTCATGAACTTCCTTGTGCCTGTGAGCTAAGGAAGGCACTCACTATAGATATGGAAATTACTACCCAATTCATCCACAGGTTCTGGTGCACACTAGAGCTGACGGACCCAGGTACAATTACGAGATTGATTAATTTATAGAACTTATCCTAACACTATGTACAGAATATAGAGTGTGTTGTTTAATTTTATAAATTATTTTTGCGGACAGGTCAACAGAGTGCATCGGCGAGCGGATGGACTGATCATGACCATTTTTATCGGCTTGCCGCGGAGCTTGAAGCGGCCGATCCCGCGACGCTGCAGTACGTGAATCAGTTCCTCGACTCTCAACTTCACCCCGACCAACAAGGTTACAAAGAACCTGAAGTGAAGGATAATCCAAGAGGTCGGCCCAAGAAGCCCAATTCAACAAAGGCGATCTATCGAAATGGGAGTACAGTCAAAGACGCCGTAAAAGCACTTCCTAGTGTGCTCCATCGCAATCGGAGTACACCGAAATAGGTCGCCTGGTGGGGCGTAAAAGCACTTCTTCGTGTGCTCCATCGATATGGGATTACAGGGAAAGAGGTCGTCGGTGGGGCGTAACAGCAGTTCTTCGTGTGCACCGACAAGCTCGTCTTCTCAACATTCAGATGAGCCGACAGGTGATTTTTTTTTTTCTTATTTATTTGTTTATGTTGAACGATAACTAATTATGTTTGTAAGTTCGATTATCTAATTTGTGACGTGAAATTATTATGATATTAAAGATACTTTCTCGACGGTTTTCTACGAATATCCGCATTATTGGAGAATTCCCTACGTAATTCACCCTTACGTAAAGAGCTATCTGGATGTGACGCCGGATGGGAACTGCGGATTTCGGGTGGTTGCAAGTTACATGTACAGAAACCAGTTGAGGTGGCCAGTGGTAAGAAGAAACATTGCAAATGAGATTGCAGCCAACAGACAGTTGTACGATCCTGCGTTTTACTATGAAACCGACAGAGCACTCGATCGGATAAGATGGGACGGGGGGCCTTGTAGCGAGGAGCATTGGATGGAAGTTGTAGATGACTTCTTTGCTATTGCTACACTATTTAATGTACTTGTCGTGTTGTTAGGCCGTGGTGACAAAAATGACAATATCGAATTCAATAGCATCACATTTTTGCCGTTGCGCGCACCATCCACGGCTACAAGACCTGACCGCGAGATCGCCATAGGTCATCTTGGTTCTTACAAACACTTCATTGCGTTTTGAAATATTAATATAATTAATATATTTGCATTTTTTAGTTAAATAAAAAATAAAAAACGCAACAATATATATTAAATTTTTTTTATTATTTACTTTTTCAATTATAAAAAATATATATTAATATATGAAATTTTTAAATTTATTTTATATTATTAAAAGTATATATATNAGAAAAAAAAATAATAATAATAATAAAAAAAAAATATATATATATATATAAAATATTTTCGTGTAAAATTTCAAAAAAAAAACGTACCTGTAGATTTCGAATGATCTTGCCGCCTCTAGGTTGTTGTCAGGCTATTTTTTCGATTTATTTTTGAATTTTTCGAATAATTTTGAGCTTTTTTTTTGTTTCAAAGTTTTTTTTTTGGGTGTGATTCGTGTGGGATCATTATGAGAGAGAGAGATTTTTTTTCTTTTGATTTAGGGGGGCCGACGGGTTTGGGATCAAAAAGAGAGAGAGATGTTTTTTTTTTCGGTGATTTTGGGGGGCCGACTATTTTGGGAGAGATAGGATAGAATTTTTGTTTTTTTTAAGTGAAGACAATTTATTAGTATTTTAAGGGTGCGATACGTAGTAAAATGGGTGTGGTATTTAGCAATTCAGATTTAACTAGCACGTAGCCCGTGCGATGCACAAGACATAAGTATTAATGAGTTATTTCCACAGAACTTATCCGTTAAGTAGCTCGTGCGATTCACGGGAGATATTAAATGAGTGGACCATAAGGCTTGTTCGTTCAGGCCTAAAAAATAATAGAGTTTGATCATCTATCTTTTTACATCTTTTCATCAACGTCATTTTTTTTGTCGGAACATTAAACCTTATTCTGGTAGCGCTAGCCCGTAAACTAATTAAATATATTATCTCACTCACATGTTTATAATAATATAAAATTGATTTCATTATATATATTTATTTATTGATATAGGAAAAATAACAATTTTACGTAATCTTGTTCCTCGTATAATACTTATATTATTTCATTATAAAATTTATTGTAGTATAATGTCATTATTATTATAAGTTATAGACGTAATCTTCTTCTTCTTTTTGTTTTATGTAATTAAAATATTTAATGTATGTTCATATTATTTATTAATGTAATTAATTTAAATTATGTAAATAAATTTAAAGTAAAATATTTTGTACAAACATTTTACAAAATATACATAATTTTTTTTTAGAATTTAATTTTTTTACAATAAATAACAGCTTTGAAATTCTATGCAATTATTAAAACCGATTAAATCTGCTTTATTAAAACCGATTAAATCTTTATTTATAGGCTGGACATTAAAACCGCTTTTATGAGATTTTTTTAACTAAACCGATGTTATGGAATAAAACAAATCTATACTTACATTTGACTTTTCCAGCAAAGGTAAAAGAATCGGTTCTGATTTTTATCCCATAACAAATCTTTAATGTTAAGTTATAAATACCAAAATAAATCTACAATTAATATCATTCTATTTCCAGCAAACATTAATTACCTTGACTTTTCTTTATACTAAATCTGGTAAATGGGATACCTTTTAATATAAGTATAGATTTTGATTTTGAAAAGTTTAAAAACATTTATCCCATCAGTCAAAATCAGTTAGGGGGTGATTGGATATGAATTCAACTAGTAAAAAATTAGTTTTTTTTTAACTATAGTTAAGTTTGAAAAAAAGTAGTATGGTTAGTTGTTAGTGGATGTATTAAAATAATATTTAAATTTAAATAATTAAAGTTGATTTGATATAAAAGTAGGAGAAAATGATTGGAAGTGATGGTTAGTTAAAATTATATGAGTGTGTGAATAGTGAATTAAAGTTGATGTGATGTGTAATAATGATTTTTTGATATTATTTAATTATATTGATAATATTGGAGATAGTGAAGTTGAGTTAAAGTTGAGTTAAATTTGAGTTTTGAGTGGGATATTTACTGTAGAAAATATAAACAATCACACCCTTATATTTTATAGCCCATGACGCTGTTACTTTTTAATCTCATTTTTCGTTACAAAATCAAGCAATTACTATGTCACGGACAATAAAATCTCTCAATCTCTTTGCACTACAAAAAGTTAAAAACTTCACCCCACCAGCCTCGGGCAGTCATTTCTTTGCTTCCAATGGCGGGTCTCCACACCTCCCTCCGCCACCAACCACCGTCCTCGGCCGCTAACCACCATTCCTTCGTCGCGAAGCTTTTACTCCTCCTCACCGTTCTCCCTCTCTCCCTCGCCATCTTCGCCTTCCTCCTGCAATGGCGCGGGGGCGGCGTAGACGATCCCATTTCGCGATGGTCGCCCGATGAGGCCCACAAGTTCCCGGGAATGGATTCTTCTCCCCTGCCGACGGTTGGTCACTCTTTATCTCATTCGACTGATTGTTCCATGCTGCTTGGACACTCCACGACGGCGTCGTTTCCGTATTTCAGGGATTGGAAGTTCAAATTCGATGCCGATCTTAAGCCCAAGGTTTTGTCCAATTTTTCTTCATTTTTTCTCCTTGATTCTGTCCATCTTCTTGTGTTGCTGATCTGATCTAAGGTTTTGATTTGAGATCGGTTGACTTAATTTGGATTTAATGGTGATTGGAATTTTTAGTGCATCTATTTTCTTTATTTTTTTGTTTTCATTTTTTGTTTTTGGGTATTGCAAGAAAGACTTTTTGCATAAATTGAATCCAACATCTAAATCTATTTGATAGGTTGTTTGAATGGTTCCTTTATTTTGAACAAAACAAAAAGAACATTCCTCAGTTATTTTGTCTGCATTTCTGTATTTAATGCGGCGTAGCTACTGATTTCCTGATTTCTTTGTAAGAAGCAGTTTCATTGGCAAGTCACCCTATATAGTAGGAGTCTTCCTCAATTTTTCCCTTGACCAGTAATTAACACAAATGTACCCGTTCTTTGAACATTTTGAGACCTTAAAACATGCAGTGGACATTAATATTTATCTAATCCTCCCTATTTTTTGTCGGTTTGTTTATTCCCAAATAGGGGGTTTGGCGTGGGTGTAGAGGGTGGGCAAGGAGAAGAGAGGTGTCCAAACCCCATGGATAGTGAAAACTAGCGATATTTGTTCAGATGAGTTCAGCATCACATAGTTCTGATGCCATTTGATATAGAAAGTCTCCATATTTGAGATAATATAAAATTTAGAGACTACTTCCCTTCATTATGCACATAGCTACAGCTACAGTGTTTCGGAGTTTGGCTACTGAGGTCCAATTATGACTTTTTATGTGGTGTTGTATCTTAACCCAAATTGGAGGAGGATTTTCTCAGTTGATGCATATTTTGTCCTGTAATTAGATTTTCGGGTTGAAAGTATTAACAAGTGAAACTGAATTTGGTTGTTGGTTAACCTAAGTTCTTGGCATTCCATTTTGGAGTTCTACTTTGTTATGTGTACAATATGCTACAAATTTTATTTTCTTATGACCATTTTGCTCAAATGTTTCTCCCTGATCTGTTTATGCTTTCGATATATGCAGATATGTATTACAACAAGTACATCTGCAAGCTTGGAGCAGATTTTGCCATGGATGTATTATCATAAGGTTATTGGGGTTTCAACCTTTTTCCTTTTTGTTGAAGGGAAGGCTGCATCTCCTGCGGTGTCCAAAGTTCTTGAATCCATTCCGGTGAGTGTTGTATTCTGTTAACTGGGGTTTTTCATTCCTNTATATAACTAGTAAAATAGTAAAAAATAATAAATAATTAGAAACAAAAAATGCACACTTGACAATAAATAGAAGGAGTAATAATTTGTTTAGTTATCTAAAATGCCATAATTATGTGGTTGAGTTAATGAGGTTGGACTATGTTTTTAATGTTACAGGGAGTTAAAGTGATATACAGAACCAAAGAACTGGAGGAGCAACAAGCTAAGAGGTAAAGTGATCCACAATGTGAATGTTTGTTTACACATTGGTCGCGTAACTTGCATAGTTATTAAAAGCGACGCAATTTGCTCAGGGCCTGGCCTTGAGGCACGAGGTGAGGCCATGGTGCTGCCTCATGAACATGCCACCACAATTAGGGGAAAAAGTAAATGACACAATGCGTATTTAAGTGCTGATTGTCGATTCATCTTAGAAAATCTAAATCAATATACCTGGGACAGTTCTGGGTTTTACGTGAAGTTTCAATAATCGAGAATTGGAACTGGTATATGCTAGTTGTTCGGTTATTGTGTCAATTTTTCAGGAACCATTTAGGAGCCAAAATAGATAATGTTCGGGTCGACTAAACCGGTTCTTTGAGAAACCGGATTGATCAGGAAAAATGCTTGTACTCCAGTTATGTACAAGAACCGCTTCTTTGAAGAACCGAAATGAACAAAGAGGCCCGCTTATATTCTGGTTATGATGCAAGAACCACTTATTTGATGAACTGACATTTCAGAACAAACCATTTATATTCCGGTTATGACACAGAAACCAACTAATATATATAAAATATATGTACGTTAGGTATATATGTGGTTGTTCAGTTAATTTATATCAAAAAAGAAAGAACCGGGAACCAGAACCGGAACTGTCTATAAACATAAAAAACCGAGCCGTTAACATGTAGTTGTGTGATTGAATCACACAACTGGGGAAGTCCTTAGCATGTACAAATGACAAAAAGTGAAACTGAACACGAGTTAACTACCCAAAAGAAATGTAAACCACTAAGGAGAATAAACACAAAGACAAAGTTTTTGCATCCTCTACCTGGGATGTGTGTTTGAGGTGGGAGAGATTCATTTTACTTTATAGAACATCTTAAAAGTGTTACAGAGTGACGTAGCGCTACTTTATAATTGTCTTAAGTCTAACTGAAGTTTATACGGTTTTGTTGGCCGAGGCCCGCCTTATGGGCGCTTGAGGTGATGCAAGGCAATTTCCAATAGCCTTTGCCGAGGCAGGCCACAGAGAGGCCACACGATGGCCATTTAAAAATATGTGAACTTGTTTGTCACTTTGTTGTCTATCTACTTTTTAGCATAGGGTAAAAATGGTCTTATGCTTTTTCTTGCCCAGTGCTATTGATCATTTTCTCTCATCCTAATTTTATCATTGGTCTCAGGGTCTGGATTATTTTTCCTTTTCCTTTTCTATCTCCAAATTTGCTGTAATCCTTATTTTTTCGTGTTAGTTGTGTCTATTAGTGACTCACAAGCCTTTTGTATTGCTGCTTTAGCCGAATCTGGAATGAAACTTGGCTGTCAAGTTTCTTTTATAAGCCATGCAATTATGAGCTTTTCGTGAAGCAATCCTTAAACATGGAGATGGCAATAATTATGGCAAGGGTATGAATCTATACATGAAAGAAGATTATAAACTTCTTTTCCCATGAAGGTTTTGTAAAATACTTGCCTGTTTTATGATTCCAGGAGGCAAGCGTGGACTGGATACTTCATCTTGATACTGATGAACTGATGCATCCAGCTGGTGCCCGAGAATATTCTCTGAGGCAATTGTTGAGTGAAGTGCCTGCAAATGTGGACATGGTTGTTTTTCCTAACTATGTAAGCATCCTGGTGACTG